AACCCCAAAAAGCCGCCAACCGCAGGCTCGTGCCCAAAACCTCTTTCCATCGACCAACCAACAGGTGAATTCCCTTGTAGGCCACTTGGATGTTCGGCCAAGTTAGTAAGTGGTTAGCCAAATGGGCTATGACCGAACGGTTTGCTCTTACAACTTGCAAAAGCTTGGCGACCCGAACACCCAAGTACCTGAACCCTCAAACTACCTATCATAGAAAAAGGAGTTCACCAACCGCACGTTTGGGGCTACAGCCCATTTTTCAGGGTAGCCCCTACTCCATATACCCGGACTTTTTGGGGTATAATGTCGACCCTCTACTAAGAAAGGAGGTATTTACCATGGCCACCCAGGTTTTGCAAGCAATACCAACTAAAAGAAGTGGGGGTTTGGGGCTTACGGGGGCAGTTTGAGGGTTCAGGTCGTTTCGAGTCCCGGACCCGCGCCGGACGTGGGCATTGCCCCAAATTGGAATCTGACTGGAGCTTCGATCCTATTGGGTCCATCGATTGAAGGAATTCCCAGTGCAGTGGCACCAATCTTGTCCCACACGGGTGGGTTCCGCACAAAAAAATGCTTCTGCAGCCTCAAAATTGGAAGTGAGTTATTGCAAGCCAACAGTATTGGTACCCACAAACTACCATTGAACATTGGAATTCACCAACCATATGCTTGCTAGAGCCAATTTTTAAGTTGGAGTTTTGAGGGAATTTTGAGGGAGGTGAGGCTTCAGAATCCCGCAACTGAGTTGGTTTCCAGTCACCTGAAACAGGGCACCTAGAGCTATAAACAAGGGAATGCCCTTGTTTTTGGTTGTTGGGGTCCAGGTACCAAAAACAACCCAAACACACCTGGACCCTCAGAATTCCAACTTCAACAGTGGTTTTTTGACCCTAAACATGGCCGGGGTCCGAATTCCCCCCATTTCTATTGGTACCTGGAGTCTCCATGACCCTTAAAAAATGGTTGGTCATTCCCCAAAAGAATGATTCGGGTCTTTGACCCATTTGGTAGGGGTCACAAGTTGAGACTCCAGGTATTTTCTTTCGGTCCTTTGGGCACCCAAAAAACCCAAAGAAAAAGTCATGCGCCCAACGAGGCTTCGACGCCCTTTTTGTCGTTTTTTGTTTTTCTTTCGCGCGGCCAGTCCTACATGAAGGGCTACGCCGACAGGCGACTTCGGAAGTTTTGAGAGAGCTGTTCGAAGATCGCCGGTGGCGTTTTCTTTCTTTTTTCTTCACCAGAATTAGCTCCCCTTTTTGCTTTTTTTGCTTTTTTGGGGCTTCCTTTGTTTTCCACTAACCAGGCAAAAAACGTATTTCTGTTGCTGGGGTCCTCTTCTTCCAGCCAAGTTTTCTCCATCCACTCAACACCCCAAAAGCCGATCGCGGTTCAGTGACCGACAGAAGCGAAAAAGCAACTGTCTGGGTGGCATTTCGAAGATCCCCAACTCCGGGTTTCTTAGGGCCAGTCGTTTGTTGGTTGGTTTGTGTTTGGCGCCTTAAAAAAGGGGGGCTGGACCCGAAAGAAATCCAACTTGAAGACGGGTCAGGGAAAGCCCTGCCAACCTCGTGGGTGAGCTCGGAGCTCCGTGGGGTAAAGCCCCAGGGATCCGATCAGGGGGGTGGGAAAATGAGGACCTGGATGTCCTCATGTCATTTTGCTCAAAGCGATCTTTTTGGGCCTTGCGTCTTGCAAGTTGTGTCAAGTTCACTTGGGCGATTGAGGTAGACTTAACTGTAGGGTGGTTCATGTCCCCAAAAGGAGGATATCTGGGTTTCAGTCAATCTGGGGGTAAGCAAAAAGTGGAAGCCTGAAGGAACCAGTGGTTAAACCATGTTACACTCAGAATCTTGGATGATCTTGGTATTCCCAATCCCATTCATTCAGTGATTCCGGTCTGGGGAGTGCCAATCTGGGTCCCGGACCCTCAAGCAAAGGAAGATGGGCTCAGGCTAGCCAGTGAGTAGTGAAACCTATCCACAGGTCGACACGTCCATGTGCTTAAAGGATTGTTGTTGCTTCCTGTTGGTTTTAATCATCTATCATTGCTGGACACTTGCCAGTGCCAACAATTCAAGATCCATGGCCAGCGAGAATCACCCAGAGGTTTCTGCGCCATGAAGGTGGATGTTCAATTGCCCAGCGGGAGCGGTTGCTCCATCGAAGTCTCGCCAGAGACGCCCCTCAGCGAGTTGAAGGCTGCGGCGCAGCAGCATTTCCAGCGCCGCTTGAAGCTCACTGCAAAAGGCCGGCAGCTTGATTTGACGGCCACGGTGAGCCAGGCTGGCTTGCGAGATGGGGACGCAGTCGATGCGGTCGTGCAGCGTGTCATGATGGCTGCCACGAATAAGGCGTTTGCATTGCATACGCATGGCAGCAATGTTGTCACATGGGGCGGTCCAGAATCGGGCGGAGACAGCAGCCAGGTGCAAGCGCAGCTGAAGAATGTCCAGCAAATCCAAGGGAATGACAGTGCTTTTGCTGCCATTCTCGAATCTGGAGCAGTTGTGGCTTGGGGTGATCCACGTTGTGGCGGAGACAGCAGCCAGGTGCAGGAGCAACTGGTGAATGTCCAGCAAATCCAAGCAAGTACGACTGCTTTTGCTGCCATTTTGGAATCTGGAGCTGTTGTGGCTTGGGGTGATCCACGTTCGGGCGGAGACAGCAGCCGGGTACAAGAGAAGCTGGTGAATGTCCAGCAAATCCAAGCAAACAAGACTGCGTTTGCTGCCATTCTTGAATCTGGAGCTGTTGTGGCTTGGGGTGATCCACGCTGTGGCGGAGACAGCAGCCGGGTACAAGAGAAGCTGGTGAATGTCCGGCAAATCCAAGCCTCTAACAAAGCATTTGCTGCCATTCTTGCATCTGGCGATGTTGTGACATGGGGTGATCCTCACTTTGGCGGAGACAGCAGCCATGTGCAAGAGCAGCTGGCGAATGTCCAGCAAATCCAAGCAGCGGTCTGGGGTGCTTTTGCTGCGATTCTGCAATCTGGAGAAGTTGTGACATGGGGTAGGCGAGGTTGCGGCGGAGACAGCAGCCAGGTGCAAGCGCAGCTGAGGAATGTCCAGCAAATCCAAAAAACTGACAGTGCGTTTGCTGCCATTCTTGATTCTGGATCTGTCGTGACATGGGGTAATCCTGATCATGGTGGAGACAGCAGCCGGATGCAAGAGCAGCTGAGAAAGGTCCAGCAAATCCAAGCATCCCACGGTTCATTTGCTGCCATTCTCGAATCCGGAGCAGTTGTGACATGGGGCCATCCAGCTAGCGGAGGAGACAGCAGCCATGTGCAGGAGCAGCTGGTGAATGTACAGCAAATACAAGCAACTGTCGCTGCTTTCGCTGCCATTCTGCAATCTGGAGCAGTCGTGACATGGGGAGATTCCCCTTGTGGAGGCGACAGCAGCCAGGTGCAAGATCAGCTGAGGAACGTCCAGGAAATCTGTGCATCTCCCCACGATGCAGATTTTGGGATCGCTGGCGCTCGTTTTGCTGCCATTGTTGACAGTGGCGCAGTGGTGACTTGGGGCGATTCAGAGCATCCACGGCAATTGAGGAAGAGCTTGGCAAGTCGTGGGACATCTCGCACTTGACATGTGCGCAGATCGATTACATATGGACCCACATTGCATGCTTCCACTTGCATGGAGCCGCGCCCGCGCCATTTGTGCGGCTTACTGTACTTGTTCTCCTGGCGGTACTGACGGAACTGGTGTTTCTTTCTCTCCCCTGCAAATGGTCTCACACGCATGCTGGGACTGGAGATCACTCGGGTGGAACCGGAAGCGGTTGGTTCGAGCGCAGCGGATCTCTCAGCTCAGACAGGGCTCCTTAAAAGATCTCCATGTTGCAACCATTTGAAACATGTTGCTTTTTCAACGCCAAAATAAAGGGAAACCACCATTTACAAGGCAATGTTCAGGTGTATAATGTAAGGATCCCTAGGATCACCCGTGAAACTGGCCTTTGCCCCTTTGGATTGCTTTTATTCAGACGGCAAGCTCCCTTTGGAAAAAAAACAAAACAAAGAACACGTGCAACCTGGGAATTGGTCTGGAGAGAAATGTCGCTGGATGGGCTCAGCCTCGATTTCGGGAAAGCGCACGATTCGGCGCGAGACGTATAAACGGAAAGGGCTCGAAACGCGGGCGAAACCTGGTCGTTGAAAGAATCTGGGCCCCTCAAAATTGAGCAGGTCATTTGTTTGGCCAGCTGAAAAAAAATCGACTCAAAAGACTTGAACAGCCCCTCGAAGTCTTTTTGGGAAAGGCGTTCCTTTAAGATGAGCTACCAAATCCAACTTTCTCTCTTTTTTAGCATGTTATATATATATATATATATGTATAAACTACCAAATTATGTTTTCTTTTGTTCGGGAGGGTAACGCCTTTAAGATACCACAATTCTCCGTTTTACGGAAATCCAATGGAAATTCTGGGACAAGGCTGCTTGAAACCAACCCCAGAGGTAGTTTAGGCCCTTGCAGTATTTGATCTTCAACCGCCGGCTGAAGCGTCCTAAGAGATAGAGCTGGCGAAGGGAGGAGACTCTCCATTCACTCCATGTATCCCTCACAGAGACGCAGTTGGGATGGAATGACTTGGATTTGCTGAAATGGGTGTGGGTCAAAATTAAACCACCAGGAATCGGACCGCAGGTTTTGCTTGGTCCATGTTTCCACTTGCTAGGGTTCCATTTTGGGTACATATTTCTGACCCACAGCCAAATGATTGTTTCAGTTGTTCCATGCTTTGTGGGACTGACACCACCAAAGGGGTTCATACAACTTTGTCATCATCTACTTGGGTCAACCATTCTTTATTCGTGGTCCAAGGGACGTATTCATCAAATGGAGGGTTCCGTTTCAGCCCCTTCCCAGCTGTTTGAGAAAGCTGACGGGGAAAGTGAGAGGAGCATAGGTGTCCTTTTTGGTTGATTTGGTTGAAACATAGAGGGCGATTCCTGGTTTACCTGGTGGTTCCATTAACTACCAGGGATACCCACCTATTTCCCCAAAAAGGAAAGCTATGGAGAGGAGTGGGGAACCAGCAATCTCTTGACACTTTTAAGAAACCGCGCCTTCCATTTGCTTAAGGTTTTATTATGATTATTATTATGAGTAGTAGTAGTGCTATTATTATGATTATTATGATTATTATTATTACTATTATTTTCCCTTGTTGGTTTTAAATGGAATCTATCATTACTGGACATATTTTCTCACCTTTTCCCGGGGGCTTATTCGCAAATGGAAGTGGCACTGCGTCTGAATTTCCACTAAAAGGGGACACCCCCAATAAAAATCAACCAGGGGTTTATTAATCCGGGGTTGACATTACCCTTGTACCACCCTCACAACATCCTGAAACATAGAGGATCTTGCCTTCTAAATGAAGTGACTTCCCTTTTTTCGAGGCCCTTTTTTGGGCGTCCATTCATTTTCTTCGCCAACCTGGACCCTCCAGCTGCCATGATTTTGGGGCAGGCAACTTACCATGTGTGAGTTCCTGGAGTCTCCATGACCCGTCAAAAAAAGCCATTCCAGGGGTAACTTCCCCGATTCTTTCCAGGGATCCGAATCTTTCTAGAAAACCACCAAAACCGCTGGGGAAAGGGCGATCGGTTTTGAAAAGAACGATGGCTGAAAAGAATGGGGAATCAACCCCTACCTAGAGTCTCCACGACCCTTTTAAAAATGGGGTCATTGCCCTAAATAATGGGGTCATTGACCCATTTTTCAAGGGTCATGGAGACTCCAGGTAGAGCCATGACCCCGTTGTGCTTTCCTTCTGTTTTGGTGGTTTCTCCGCGGCTCGAAGGAAAACCCAGAGACGCTCCGGCGACGCCTGCCTGTCCATATCTACAACTAGGTCCCCAGTACCCTTCCTCACCCCGTTTTTGGTTGGGAGGGTTCCGGACCCTACTAAAATAGACAAACCTGCAAAAAAGTTGGTGCCCACTTTCCCTAACCTCTCAAACCTGGAGGACCAAAGTACCCATGACAATTTTTCAGGGCATTCCATAGGTGGGGTAAGAGTTCCAGTAACCCATATGGAATGAACTGCCTTGAGCTGCGGCAAGCCCCGCTTGCCGCGCTGCGTTTTTTTTTTCCTAGGAAGGGCAACGAGGAGTTCGACCGCCACCTGCGGTACTTCACCTCCTCCATCGGCCCGGTGGTCGAGGAGGCCTTCTTCATCAACGAGGCGCTCAACGACATGAAAGGCGCGGAGCTCGAGCCGAGAGGTCGGATCGAACAAGGCGACCTGGACCCTGAAAGTTCCCTTAAAAGTGGGATGTCACCCCATAAATTTTGGGGGTCGAACCCATTTTTAAGTTGGAGTTTTGAGGGTTCAGGGACACGGAAAAAGAGGGGGGGGGGGCCTAGGCTTAGGAACCGCCAGGTTGCTTGTTCGCTTTTTTCAGTCACTGTTGCGATCGGTTTTTGGCAAATCGGCCACAGAAGGGGGGAAAGAATGACCGAAAGCCGAGCCGAAACGACTCTCTTTGTCCCCGTTTCGTGCCCCCTGTCTGTGCCTGCGTTTGTTTGGGCAGTTGAGATTCTTCGAGGTTGCGGCTTTCTAGGACCGCATGAGGTGGAATCTACCACTATGCTGGAAATGTGATTTCATTTCTCCAGGGGACGTAAGCACAAATGGAGGTGAGGAATCGGGAGCTGCCGGTTCCGGTTTGTCCATTGGAGATGGCATTTGCGCAGGGTTCACGACTCACCCATTAGGAAAGCGCCCTTTGTTAAGCAGGCGGACTCTATAAGTGCCGACCTGCCCGCACAGTATCTGGGGACCGTTAATGAAATTGGGGACGGGTGGTGAGGTTTGGCCAACTCAGGTACAAGGAACATGACTCCCAGAAAACAAGCCCTAAACTTCCCTTATCCCCTTGGGAATTAAAAACCTGAAGCCTCAAATTCCCGTACAATTTGGGGTGATTTCCGATTTGAGGGTCTTACGGGTAGTTTGAGGGTCCTAGGACCCTATTCTTTCCGTGACTCAAATGACTTGAAGACTCTTTTGGGATTGCACAGGGAAACCATCTATCTTCTTCCCTGGTGAGACAAACCCGAATGGATCGCGTTTCTAGGAGCAGGATACTTGAGGTAAGTACCCTGCTACGGCCAGTTTCCCACCATTTGGTGGTTTGGAGCCGAAACCGTGGTTTCCCCGTTGCCCAGTGCCCTTTTTTCCTTTTTTCGGGTAAGGGTCAACGTTTGCCTCCAGAGCCAGGGCTTCAAATCCAAATTGAAACCACTCCAACCGGGCCAACCGGGTACCGCACTTCCTGAGTCCCGTTGCGGACTTGAGGCACTTGGGTTTGGACCATGTTAGTGGCAAATTCAGTTCCTACCAAAGCAACCACCCGACACGTGTATATATATATATATAAAAGCCCAAAGGACAAATGGTTGGCTACTATACTGACTTGGGGATTCAAAAGAAGCAAAATTGTTTCCTGAACCCTCAAGCTGCCAACTAAATGGCCATTGCCTCAAAATGAGTACCTGGAGTCTCCATGACCCTTGGAAAATGGGTCAATGACCCCATTATTTAGGGCAATGACCCAATTTTTAAAGGGTCATGGAGACTCTAGGTATAGTTCCTTTTCTTAAGGGTATTTCTTTCGGGTCCGATCGGTGCCCGCATTTGGTTAGGATCGGAAGTGAGTACCTGGATCGCCGGTTGCGATCGCTTTCTTCCATGCACTCCAAACCCCAAACACCGATCGCAACAGTGACTGAAAAAAACTTTTTTGCAACTTGGCGATTTCTAGGCCCTCAAATTTCCAGCTGAAAAATGGCCTGGCTGTGATGTCTTGCTTCGAATTCTACCCTTCCATGGGATCGAATCGACGCTTAGGCCCAAACCCCCAGCGGTCAGTTGGCGGTTTCGCGCAGACCCGAAACAAGTGACCGGCAGAATTCCGTTTTTTGTTCTTCATGTGTTTCTTTCTTTTTTCCTTTTTTTTTGCGCCGGAAAGCCATCTGGACCCCAAAGAACTACCCATGACATGGGTCATCGCCCCATGCTGGGGTTATAACCCCCAGGTCCCCCAGCAATTGGTGCCCTTCTCACCGTCTTTTTTGGTTGGGAGATTCGGTTCCCCTACTAAAATAGACTACAGAAAAAAAGGTTCCAGCTTCGCTACTGGAGGACCGATTTTTAGCCGGAAATTTGAGGGGTTTTCTTGCATCGAGTTGGAGTTGGAGGAAGCCTCCGCTTGGGGCTTGGTCGAATTGGTTGATTTTTGACTTCTGACGCATCGTCAGGCCCAAGCCGAGGCAAATGGGATGGGTCTGGTTGACCCCTGAGTGATTTGGGTCCGTTTAGGGTGCACCTGAACCCTCAAAATTCCCTTAACCATTGGTCAATGCCCCAAATTATCGGGTGGATTCGATCTTCTTTTTTTTGGGGGGGGGTAGCTTGAGGGTCCAGATTTAGCGCGTGCTTGAGGCTGAACGAGGGTGGAGAGGGAGGAACTTTCTTTCGTCCTGGGGTTCGGTTACCACCCCCCCAAAAAAAGCCGGCGGGGTTCATATTTCACCACTATTGCATGCGGTTCGGGACTGTCATCATCCAAATCGGGTTTTCTTGGGCCGCTCTCCAATTTTAATGACCAAACGAGAGGGCCCTCCTTTGAAAGACCATCGGAGTTCCCATTGAAACGCGGCCGAAATCTGGCCATGGGTCAAAATCCAAAGCCCGTACCCACTAAAATGGACTAAATGGGTGGTGCAGCTACCCCAAAATGGGATCCCAAAGCGGTTTTGACAACCACGGCCATCTGACTTCGCGAGGTTACCTGGGCATCTGGGCCAAGGCGAGCAAGATGAACCCCCCAGGCACTTTGCTCAACTTCTGGCCTCCTGCGGACATGAAGGCGCGAAGCAGGGCCAAGATGAGTCGAACGAAGTAGGACCAAGATGACTTTGGTGCATTTGCCAAGCTATGTTAGGACTTTGACAGGGCTCCTTAAAAGATAATTGCATTTTGCAACCGTTTGAAACATGTTGCTTTTTCAACACCAAAATAAAGGGACACCACCATGCAAGGCAATGTTCAGGTGTATAATGTAAGGATCCCTGTTTAACTTTTTGCCAACTTATGGGTTTTCCATCAAACCACTAAAAGTTAAACTTTTAGCAGTGGAGCAGAAAGCAACCGAGATGAGACGGCTACCAACCCCAACCATTTGTGGGGGTCCTAACAAGTACCGTGAAGCCAAGGCTTCCCGTTCACAGGATCAAACCATTGCCCATAGTTGGACACCCCCTCACAAACAGCAACAAGTGACCTGACCTGGACAATCAACATACCCTCTAAAAATGGAGAAAGGGCTGAGCTGCGCGAAAGACAAAGTCCCTCTAAGGGTACCTGGACTGTTCATCTTGAAAATATAGGTCACACAAAATATGTCGACTCCGGTCATGGATTCCCGGCCCCATGGTTGCTTCAGGTCCAGTTGAGGAGTTGAGGAGGGAGACGATCGGTGCATCGATCCTTGTTTTTTTTCGCGCCAGGTCCAGGGCAAGATCAACCAGGAGGTGGACTATCGACCAGGCAGCCCCATTTCCGAGCAGGCGGGTCCCGACTCCTGCGATGCACCTGGGCCCTCTGATTCAGAACCCAAAGCGGCCAATTCCTCAAGGCTGTGAAGGAAAGCCTTGGGTGAGTTTGCCCCAAAAAGAGTCGGGACCCTGATGTTTCCCCCAAAATTACATGATCTTCATCGGCTTGTGTTTGCCCTAAAACAGTCGAATCGGAGCTTTAGGGGGGGTCTACTTAGACTTGAATCGAACCACTTGAGAGGTTCAGTGCGGTGGCCACGTGGCCCAACTCCACCTCCCAGGGTGATTTCTTCACATCACTTGGTGGCCATTTTAAGACGACCTGGACCTTGGAATTCACCAACCATACTTTGGACGGATACACTCCGATGATGGATGAAGTCAGATTTGAAGACCAGGCGAAACGCGTGTTCGATGGTTTGGGAAGGACTGGTTTTCCTTTTGGCATGAAGCATCGTTGTGTCACTTGGGGGGTTCAGTGCGGAACTACACGCCGGTTTATCAAATGATTCAGAGCACGGGGAGTCATGGGAAGATGGCCCTCAATCAGCTGCAATGGCCCAAAACGCAGTAATGTTACCCCCCCCACTCCAAATACCCTCTTTTGTTTAGTATTGGTTGGAAAGTGTGGTTCTCCGGGGTATATACATGCCTGCGTTTTCGTCAGGGGTTGCCATGATACCCTAACGAAGCGGGTATGATGCATTAGCTTCCCTATGAAGAAACGTGTGCCTTAGCAGTGGCTCAGGGGTGAGTGTGTCGTTTTATAGGGGACCCAGAAATTGGCGGTGTTCCTTTTGGTTTTCCTTCCCGCACAAACGAGATCGTACCGCCAAAAAAGACAACCGCACATGTAATTCAAATTCCCTCATGTTTTCCCCCTGACTAAAAAAGGCATGGTTTTCCAAAAGCAAACCTTAAAGATTGGTTATAGCCCCAAATTCATAGGGTGAAATCCTTTTTTTTATGGGTAGTTTGAGGGTTCAGGAACTCCTAAACAAAGTGGGAATTTGGAGTAGGGTGTGTGTGTGTGTGTGTGGTGTGTGTGTGTGTGGTGTTGTTGTAGTTTGGGCTGACTCAGCAGACTTGCGCAGGGATACAAGATCTACGACTTCATCCGACCTCGGGGTCACGAAGAGAGCGCTTTGGCGCTTAAAAAGCCGCTAACACCGGTGAGTGGTTCGCTTCTGGCTTCGGCATTAATGGAGACCCAGACAATTCGGAGGTGTGTTTGGGGGTCTCATGTTTGTTGTCTGTTTGAGGGCCCTAAACACTTCGGGAGCCTCTGGGAACTATCATGTTGGGGCAACCCAAGTTGGAGTTTCCTGGGTTCAGGAAGGTTTCAACCAACCCTGATTTCGGGCCCTCAAAATGGGTAGTTTTTGAGGGTTCTTGAGGGGTCGGGGTTCTGCATTGGAGGACCCAGGGGTGTGCATTAGAGGGGTCATGACCGTAGCATCCAGGCCATGCCCCTCAAAGCGTCGTCTTGCGGGAACAAATGGGGAAGCCAAGAGGAAGCCCTTGGCATTTTACCCTCCCTTCTACTAACATGGCACCTGACAGAGGATCCCTTAAAGAGGAAAGTGATCTTCCAGGTAAGCGCCCACAAATGCCAGGTTAGTGGGAGGAAGGGGACGAGGATGTTTGAGGGTGCTCAGGTGTGCTTAAGAGGGGTTGTACCCACCCTAGAAGGATCCATGAGCATGTGGGCGAATTCTGTGACTGAGAAGCATCCAAATTCGGACCGTGGCTCACCCGCTACACCCAATACCCGCTTTTCGTCAGTTGGTATGATAGGGTATGTTGTCAACCCTTGACCCAGAAAGGGATCGGCATTTACCCCGAAAAACCCATGTTCTCCAAACAAAGATGCGTTCCAGCAAGAACAGGAATTCACCCCACAAATTGGGGGGTTCAGGTTGGTATTTGGAGCACCCGGACCCTCAAACTACGCACGAACAAATTGGACATCAACCCATGTTGGGGCATTCAATAGCCCATTTCTTCACTGTTCTTGGCATGTGTTTGTTTTTTCTTATATATATATATATATTGTTTTTTGGTTCTGTTCATTTTTACCGGGGGTCTGCAAAAAAAAACAAAGTTTTTCGCTACCATACCAAGAGTAGAGATGATTTTTCAGTTGGCATTTTGAGGGTTGAGGTCACAAGCTTTTGCGTCTCTGTCCCGGACTGGCCGCTTCTCTCTCTCTCTCTCTCGCCGCGCCTCGAGGCTATGCGACCGCCCTGGCTCACGGCCAGGAGGGGCCAAAACTCTTGGTGACGAGCGCTCACCGAGCGAACGAACCGAGCTCATGGACCTGAACTCGCAAACTTCCAACTCAGAAGAAAAGGTTGTTGTTTTCGATTTTTTTGGGGGGGTGAAATTTTCCTTTTTTGTTCAGGGTGGTTTGAGGGTACAGGCAGGTCCTTTGAGGATCTTGCATATTTCAGCGGTCATTATTTCGACTATGTCTGGATATCAAAGTCAGAAACTGGGGTGGGTTGCCTTTAACCTACCATTTGAATGGGTGACTTTGGTACTGGTAGAATAATGGGGTCAGGTTTTCCCTTGGTTGGTTTGGTTCTCGTTCGGGGGACTTTTTAGGGGCGAACATCTGGGTCTTGACTTGCTTCCTTTCAGATTTTGGATCTGTAGAAGCATACTTGTTGTCTGGACCCACAAACTACCCTCAATGGGTTACCCATTTTTGGGGGTGACTTCTCTTTTAATGGATAGTTCTTTCCGGTCCAGGTAGGTTATAACCAAGGAAAAGGGCTGGTTGATTTCTTGGCTTTGGCACAAAAGGCCATGGAAATGACCTGCAGGTTGAACAACCAAGTTTCTTCAGGCTCCGAAACACAAGTTTTCAAGTCGCTTTCGGTTCTTCATTGAAGACTTGTAGCCCCTTACGGGGTGTTTGTGCGTTTGTTTGTTTTTTTTGGGGGGGGGTCACACTCAGGCTGCTGTCTTGAGAGTCTGAGCTCGAGGCCCGGTCGGTTTTTTTTTTCTCTCCGCAGCCCAGAGGAAGGCAACACGATGTCATGGCGGGTTGGAGAACTCGTGTCAGACCTGTCCGTCCCGCGCCATTTTCAAAAAACCCGTCTTGGAGTTCAAGGCCTCGAGCCTTTATTCAGGAGCCAACTCGTATGACTTCAACTCCCTGTAAAAGCCGCAGGAGAATTTCAACTCCCTCTTGGTATGTGTCACAATTAGGGGAACCTAAGAAATAAGGTGGTCCTCTTTGTAAAGAACTTGAAACCACACAATACCCTTAAACATGTGTTATAGGCCCGCAATTATCATGGGGGAAATGTCGTTCCCTGAATGCAGGGTCTACTGGTGCCGGTCCAACCCTCTTCAGAGCCAGCACCCTCCAAAATCATCCTGACACCTCCAAATTCCCTTAAACATCGGTTATGGCCCCACACAAAAAATATGGGGTGACCTCCCATGGTTGAGGGTCATTTGAGGGTGCTAGGTTTCTTGTTTTCGCTGGGTTCAAACCACTACAACAAAAGGGGGTTTAAAAAAAGCACATGGTTTACCCCAGGATTGTCATCATCCAAGTTGGGTCAACCATTCTTTTAATGAGCCTGGATCGCCAGTTGCACCCCAACAAAAACAGCAACAGTGACTGAAAAACACGATCGCAACTTGGCGATCCAGGGGGCACGGAACCAGCTCGGGTTTCTTTGATAGCGAACGTATCCATGGCAGGACGGCATCATGCTGGTGACCATGTTGGAGTGGATCCGCCGGCTCTCGGCGCCTGCGAAGGAAGTTTTCGGTAGAATCGGAGAACAGGACCCCGGCGGAAGGAACCCCGGTGTCTTCTGGGTGCCAACTTTTACCGTTCCTTTTTTTGGTTGGGAGGGTTCCGAACCCTACTCAAATAGACGAAAAAGAGGAGCACCCTAGTCTAACCTCTCTACTGGAGAAGCTAGTATTGATAGTATTCTAGGGGTTGATTCCTCGTCCATTCTGTTCAACCATGGTTCTGTTCAAAGACCGGAGCCGTTTTCCCGTGGCTAAGGTTCTCTAGAAGGATTCCTGGCATGGGGAAGGTACCTCTAGAAATACGGGGCGGCGCCCCTTGAAAAGTAAACACCAATTCACAAGTAGGGGCTGCTTAGTCCTGGGTTGACATTGCCCGCGCAATCTCCAAAGAATGTTGCCCCGGATCAACCAACCCCAGTTTATTGACAGCGGGGTGGAGGCCCCTCAAAAAGTGGTTTGATTCCCCACTTAACCTGATCGGGAACAAAGGTTTGTAGGAGCTCCGGTATTCTTTGGGTAAAGACAACCTGGACCTGAAAGAACTACCCATTGAGAAAGCTCAGTCACAGACCATAATTTTGGGGCAACCCAAATTGAAAGGAATTTGGAAGGTGCAGGAACTCCTTTCTTGGTCAAGGGTTGACATCGTACCCTATTCTACTCTAAAAATACCGTCGGGAGGGCTCACGACTCGCCTTTCACTGAGTTGGGATCGAGTCACTTTTTGGGATTCTCACTTGCCAGCGAATCGATTTGACAGTCCAAAACCTTCCACTGATGCATGGGGGGTCCTGTTATTTTTGGTGCTTTTGAGCTCACTTCCTGAGTTCATGGGCTTTAGTCACGGACCATTTTAGTGGCAAACGACCTGACAGAGGCCACGAACCCAAATGCAATCTACCTTTTGGCTCGAATTTTTGAGTATGATGAGCCTCTCTCTTTCTCTCTCACTCCACTCCCCTCTCCACTCCCCTCCCCTCCCATCCTGTCCTCTCGACTCCACTCCACTCCACTCACCTCACTCTCCCTCTCTACCTGCAGTCACCTACCTGAAGTGAACCAGGGTCAAAAGACAAAGGGTCATAGGCTCATTTTGAAAGGGTCATGGAGACTCCAGGTAAATATATGGCCGTGGGTCAATAGCAATGGGATCCCATTTTGGGGTTTGGGGTAAATACACCACCCATTTTAGAACCTATTTTAGTGGTTGGATTGAATCGGATGTTCACTGGGGGTACGATTTGGGTTTTGACCCGTACCCATATACAGAGTTCCCCTTCTTGACCTCAAGATAGGCTCAATCCCAGGGGGTTCTCCTTTTGGGGGGAAGGAACCCCTGGGTTTAAGTCTACCCTAGGGTTGTCAATAAGCAGAACCCTGTACTGGAGACTCCAGGTATATATATATATATACATACATATACATATAATTACATATGTATATAATTACACATATATATATATATATATATACATATAAAACCCCACGTTCTTGTTGGATTTCTTCGGATTCGCCTGAGGTGGATCAGGGGAAGAACAACCCCCCCCAATATATATATATATATATATATATAAGACTCCAGGCATATCTCTATATGCACACCTTCTTGTTCTGGAGACTCGCCTGAGGTGGACCAGGGCAAGAACACCAAGGTTTTGGTGGGCACCTTCGTCCGCTCCGACATCCCGGGGGCGGACATCGACTGCGAGGGCGCCAGGGCCTCTCTGCAATTCGCCCAGGCGAGCTCCGACGCCGACTCCTCCGATTCTCCGAAGATCGGAGTGACCCCCACGGGAGAAACTTCCGCAACTAGGGTCCCCCTAACTTTGGACCTCGATTTTTTGGGGGAATTCGAGAGCCGACGTTGGGCATCAAATGTTGGACATCGATTTTTGGACATCAACCCAGCATGTTGGGGGATTCAATAGCCCATGTTTCAGTTGGCATTTTGGAGGGTTCAGGTAGGCATAACTAGGTCCCCCAGCAATTGGTGCCCTTTCTCACCGTTTCTTTTTCGGTTGGGAGGGTTCCCCTAAAATAGACGACGGAAAACAGCTGGTACCCTTAGTCTAACCTCTCAAATCTGGAGGACCTAGGAGCTTTGGGTGGCTGCCCACACAGCTCAGCGTTGGAGCCTTCGAATGGGAGGGTCGAACGTTTCGAGCCCTGTGAATTTGAATGGGACACCAAGTTCGTTAACTTTGTGGTTGATAACCTACCTGGACACCTCAATCTACCTGAAACATGGGAGTGCAGCCTAACCAGAATTTGGTGGCCATGGCCCTTTCTGTTGTATCTTTGCGAAGCCCCCGGTAATGGGAGTTCACCTGAACCATTATTTTGGGGCTTTATAACCAATCTTTGAGGGATCTTTTGAGGATTCAGGTGGCTTATAAGCCACCGGGACCCTCAGACTACGTACGAAAAAATGGGAGTTCACCTTAACCATACGTTCGGGGCTATAACAGGTGTTTTAAGGGAATTTGAGGGTTCAGGTATAGAACTTGCAGATCCGTTGTGCCACTCAAATGAATGGCTGTGAAAGTAGGTGTTGGATGGAGGCCCCTTATCCCTTTGCCCCCACCAAATCGACCTGGTCAAGTTCTTGGTTTCGTCCATGTTGCAAAATGGTTCGAGACATCTCCAAAGTGATGGTGTCCCCTTCAAATGCTCAAGCCCAGCAAAAGTGGGAATTCCCTAAACCCTCGGTGTTCCCATAAACATTGGCTATGCCCCACCATTCTGTTTGGTGAATTCCAACGTGTTGATGAGTAGTTTGAGGGATCAAAAATCAGACGGGTTTTTGAAAGCATTGGGGATATCTGTTTAACCCCCACCCCCCGTTTAGGGGTAGAAAGCAGAGACATATGGGTCTACCCTTTTTCGGGTTGGTTTAGAGGGAAACCTAAATGTTCCCCCTATTTTCTTGTTCGGGGGGGGGCCTGTTCGGTTGAACCGCTTTCCCAAGCACCCAGGCCTCCTGAAAATAAGCCGCAGGTTTGCATTTTTTCAGACGGTCCAATGCTCAAGGAACACCTGAGCCTCCCTCCCGAGTTAAGGACCAAGTGTTTGGGTCATATCCCATCTTCTATCACTCACCCGTGTGACAACTCCCGGCCACCTGACTGAACAGTTGGCGATAGCAACCTCCTAGAAATCGCCAAGTTGCTTTTTCGCTTTTTTCAGTCACTGTTGCGATCGGTTTCTGGGGTAACGTGCATGGACAAAAGCGATCGCAACTGGCGATCCAGGCCAAAACCGTGGTTTGTACATTCCACGTTTCAAGGTGCTTTTTTTTTGCAGGGTCCCGGCACTCTTTTTCGAACTTCTTGGAGTTGGCAGGATCTGTCGGACAGCGTGGGATGGAACCGCATGCTGCCCGGAGTGCTACCCTTCTTCCACAGCTAGGCGCGCCCTTTGCGCAGGTGTCGACGTGTCGAATGGTGAGGCCCAAATTTGCAGGTGCCAGCTTCTCCCTTCTTTTTTTGAAGGAGGGCGCTTTGTGTGTTGTGTTCTGTTCTGTTCTGTTGTGTTCTGTTCTGTTCTGTTCTGTTGTGTTCTGTTCTGTTCTGTTCTGTTCTGTTGTCTTGTGTTGTGTTCTGCTGTGTGTGTGTGTGTGTGTGTGTGTTGAAGAACCCTTTTTTTGGGCGGGGGAGTTTGGGCTTCCTTTTTCTTCTTTGTCGGGGGAGATGGGTTTCTCTTTGCCATTTGCTTCTGCTGGGGCATTTGCTTCCGCACAACGGAGTTGACCCCGTCGAAGAAGGGCATCCGGTTCATGAGGGCTCCTCAAAAGATGAAAAACACATGCAATCATTTGTTCCATGCACTCCAAAGAACGAGCGCAACAGTGACTGAAAGAAGCTTTTTCGCAACTTGGCTATCTAGGTTGTAACCAAGTAACTTATCGTAACTTATCTAGCTACCTGGACCCGAAAGAACTACCCATACAAAATAAGGCCATCTATATGTGGCTTCGGCTTGGCTTTCCTCTGACGTTTCCGCAGGTCCGGCGATCAGATGCTTGATCGATCGCCACCGGGATGGTGCCGTGATCGTGGGATTCGGCCAATGCCCGCCTTTTGCGGCGTCAAAAAGAACGAATCCTAGATAGCCAAGTTGCGATCGTTTTTTTCAGTCACTGCTGCTGGTGTTTGGGGGAAACTGCATGCCTAGGTGGCCAAGTTGCTGTTTTTTTCAGTCACTGTTGCTGGTTTTGGGGGGAAAGTGCATGGAAAAAAGCGATCGCAACTGGCGATCCAGGATTGCACGATTTCCCGTGGCCAGCGTGCTGCGCTTCCCCCTTACTCCAAATACCCACTTGTTCTTAGATCATCGTCGACCCTGTACGAAAAAGGAGGTATTTACACTGGAAAACCAGGCTTTTCAAAGACATGCCCTAATAAGATGCTTTTGCAGTAGGGGTTTGACCAAGTAGCCCAAAATGATGGTGGGTGAATTCCCTATTTTTTGCGGGTAGTTCTTTCGGGTCCAGGTAGATTGCTCGAGAAGATACCTGGTTGCCACCTGGACAGCCAAGTTGCGATCCCTTTTTTCAGTCACTGTTGCGATCGGTTTTTGGGGTATTTTGGAGTGCATGGAAGAAAAAGAAACAACAACCCGAAAATCACCAGTTGCTATTTTGCTTTTTTCCATGCACTCAAAACCCCAAAAACCGATCGCAACAGTGACTGAAAAAAGCGATCGCAACTTGGCTATCCAGGTGGCGATCCAGTGCGGCAATCCCCCCAAAGAACGGGTCCTACATGTTTCCGCGGCCGAAGACACCCGGCCGATTACGAAGGGATAGTCCCCTTGCCATTTGGGTCCTTCTTTTTGGTGGTTTTTGCAAAAAAGAAAGAAAAATAACCTAGATGGCCCTGGTTGCAAAACAACAAACTAGATGGCGATTCGTGGCGATTCCAATGGGTTTACCCTGGTGGTTTTTTCATCATCTACCAGAAATATCCATCCATTGCCCCTAGGACACGGATATGCCCCTTGCCATTTGGGTGCCTTCACCCGCCTTGTTCGATTCTTCACATGGTAAAAGGGTAGACCAGTCTCTTGTGGTTTCAAATCAAAACCAACAGGAAAGCCTCACCTAAGCCATTTTTGGGGGGTACAACCAAAAAAGAGGACCTACAAATCGCCAAGTTGCGAAAAAAGCTTTTTCAGTCACTGGTGCGATCGGTTTTAGGGTTTTGGAGCGGTTGTGGGGGTAAAGTGGATGGAACAAAGCGAACGCAACTGGCGAGCCAGGACCATTTTGATACCGATCGGTTTTTGATTCTGACTCATCCCGAACCCCCTGCAACACTGCAACGCTCCCAGAAAGTAGCTCCGAATCAGCCCAGCTTTTATTTTTCAGTTCCGATGGGCGAGGGTTTTGCCAGGGCGCGCTTGCTTGCTTGCTGGGTTTGGGCAGAAGGTGGCTCCGAAAGCTGCACTACCCGAATAAACTACCTGAACCCGAAAATAATCCAACGTAAAAATGGGTTGCATAGGTTTGTAATACTCACCCACCTGCATAGCCAGTTGCTTTTTTCCATCCGCTTTACCCCAAAAAACAGCAACAGTGACTGAACAAGCAGCAACTTGGCTATCCAGGCAGACGAGATTCTCCAAAGGTCCACCCCCAAAAAATGAGATGTTTTTGTGACCCACGGCGTGTTCTGCACGCCAAAAGGCCTATATTGGCTGGGTCCCCCAGCTACGTGCCCTTTTACCCTTTTTTGGGGGGAGGGTTCCCCTACTAAAATAGACGACCGAAAAAAGTTGGTACCCTTATTCTAGCCTCTCTACTGGAGGACCTAGGAGCTTTGGGTGTGGTTGAATGCCACCAGTGTCGGCGTGAGGACTGCACGGACCAGGCTCCCCACAGGCTTTTGGGCTGTGGCTGACCCGAGAATTCCCAAGACACTCACTGCCCTTTGCTCGATTGTGTTTTTTTGTGGAAAGGGGTGGGCATCTGTCCACCAAACAAGGGGGGGGCCCGATTAGTCTGGAAATTCACAGGGATCTGAGATGGAGAACAACACCGGTTGTCTCTTCACTTACTGTGCCTGCATATGTATGTTTCCGGGAGCACATCTTGCTACAGTTGAGCGAGAGAAACTCGCAAATCGCCGCTCGGCGCTTCGGCTCAAACTGAAGTCGCCTGGCTGCCGCCCTCGGCCGCCAAAGAGTCGTACTGTTTGTCCAGAAATTACATGCTTCCGCGGCTCGGCACGAGAATTTTGGCCGCTCTTTTCGGGTAATGTTAACCCCGGATAAATAGACCCCTGCTTGATTAATAGGGGGGTGTCCCCTTTTAGTGGGGATTCATCACTTTGGGAGGGAACACCCCCCTAATAGTGGGACCGGTTTATTAATCCTGGGTCAACATTACCTGGACCTTCAAAAATCCAAGTTAAACATGAGTCATTGGCCCAAACGTATGGTTGGCGAATTCCATTTTTTCAAGTTGCTAGTTTGAGTTTCCACCCAAATCATTCCCCACAAGCGCAACTGAGTACGGTCCAGAATCCGATCTGTGCCAACGTCAACCTTCCATGTTTGAAATGTACAAAACATCTCTCAGGTACCGGTTTCGGAAAAATACCACTTCTATGGCCAGTATTTAGCCCCTCTTGAAAATGCCAACTTGACATCCAGGATCCCGAGTTGGTGTTTCTTCTGTTCTTACACGTCGGCCACATATTGCAAGCAGTTCTAGAGGGATCCAAAGTTGCCTCTTTGGTTGCGCCTTGCGCCAATCTTGGGATCAATTGAGCCACCAAGAACAAGGTGGATGAAGAGCGGGACAGCCGCAGCCAGAAGGGGCGAATATCCGGCTTTTGGATTCTCCACGTGGTTTTGGGTCCGGTTCGATAGATTTTGCTTTGGGTACGCGTTGGTGGAATCCAGGAAAGACAACTTGAAAAGATGACCAATTCGATTGTTGGGCCCCTCAGTTGTGCAGTGGCACCATTTTTTTTCTTCTTTTTTTTGGGTGGCTGCCCCACTAAAAATGGTCTTCCCAAAAAAGGGTTCCCTTTTTTTCCAGGGTCACTGAACAACTGAGGCCCTCAAACTATTTGGTCCGGGTTCTTTGGGTTTCTGGTGCCGGCATGAGATGTGGTCATGAGATTCGGGGAACATGGCCCATATTAACCCACCTCGGTTTAATACAGGGCTCCTTAAAAGATCTCCATGTTGCAACCATTTGAAACATGGCTTGTTTTTACCAAAATAGAGGGGAAGCGCCATTTACAAGGCAATGCTCAGGTGTATAATGTAAGGATCCCTGTTAATAGGGGGGTGTTCCCCTCCACACTAAACCAAGAGACACCCCCTATTGATAAACTGGGGTTGATTAATATGGGGTCAACATTAATCCGATCGATGGATTTTGAGGCCCTGTCATTTGCTTAAGAACATGTTGTTTTTAAAGGGAATCTATCACTGGAAATATGTGTTGTTCGTCCCCAGTGGACTTACGCAAATGCAAGGGCCTTAAAATGGCTTGTGTTGAGAACCTTGAAGGCCTTTGTGGATACCATGTTTTTAGACCCGGGACCGTCGGGGTGGGTGCTAACAAGCTCATCCTACTTCAAAACGCATGTCTGTTTGTGTTTACATGTTGTGCAGGGCTTATGTCCCTCCTTGTTTAGCCAAGGAGTAACATCGGCATTCTTACTCCCTGGTTAAAACATATGATTTTTAAACAAATAAGGCGCACAAGACATGGGTGCAGTAGGTGACATACATTCAGGTTACCCTGAATTGGTGGTTCAGATTGGTTCTGGGGATTTGAGCCCCTGGTTCTTGTGGGTACGTGGGAAACCTCTCCTGAACCACCAAATAGAGGGAAGCTGATACATACCTTAGTAGTTGACTCCCCATTCTCAGAGCACCCATCGAGCTGAATAGGAGACCACGCAGTTTTCCAGGGCTTCTGGCCCATAGTTGAAGAGTTGGATTCCTGAAGAGGATGGGGAAGGTACAGCTATCGCCTTTGCTCGGCTCAGGTAAAAATCTACTAGTTGCTCGCCTGCAAAAGCCGGAGTTTTGAGGCCAGGAGAAAAGACACCCACCTTTTTCTATGTGAAGATTTGGGGCCAGTTTTTAAGTTGGATTTTGGGGATTTTGCTCCAAAAACCTGCTTCTTTTTTGGGAAGACCTGATTTTTCGGGTGAATGCCTCCTTTTTAGTAAAAGGTTGACAGGATGCCTGAGAAACAGTGGGATTTTTTGCGGGTTCACTAGCCAGAAATCAGAATGTCAGAGCCAAAAGTCGATAGGTTTTGTCCACCCGTACACTGCAAGTTTTTGTGGTACAGATTCCATGCGTGGGGTATACTTTGACCCTTGAACGTGCCCCCCCCTGCTTCCTTTTGAAGGTGATACCGGGCTCACTTCTTGAAATTATGGACTTGAATCATTTTGGGAAGACCATGTTAGCGAGCTACAAACAGTTTAGATCTTTTTTTGGCCAGTCCCCTCAATCGATAATAATTACGAATCCATTTCGCACCACTCGGAATACCTCGATTCCCCTGTAAAAACCTTATGAGACCCTCAACGCACCCACAACCATGGGATGTCACCCCATAATTTGGTGCTATAACCTACAACCCATTTTTAAGTGTGGTTCATTGCCATAGTTTCATTTCGTGGTGCGAGACTCCTCGCGGAGTTTGATTTCAACCATCCACAGTAGTTAGATTTATCTGAACCCTCAAAATTCCAACTGAAGCATGGGTAACCCCAAAATTGTGGGAATCGTGGAATAGTTCCGTGCCGTTTTTTTTTTTTTTTTTATTGAGTCGTTTCGTGACTTATCTTCCATAGGACGCCAAACAGCGTATCTTCAGGTGTTCAGTTTCTCTGAACCCTCAAAATTCCAACTTAAGAATGGGCAACCGCAAACTTGTGAAAGGGTAAATGTGTTTCGGGTTGGTTCTTTTCCCTGAACCCTCAACAAAAAGTCCAACTTAAGAATGGGTACCTGGAGTCTCCGCCCTTCAAAAACTAGGCCATGACCCCATGTTTTTGGAGCAATGACCCCGTTTTTAAAGGGTCAGAAGGAGACTCCAGTTTGGAAGCTCATCCCGAAAGGCTTCGTGCCCGGCGATCTTTTTGGGATCCCGGGGCTCT